TGTAGATAAGAAAAAGAAGAAGAAGAGGGAAAAAAAACACGACTGTAACATTTCTACCACATGCCACAAGGATCTGAAATTCGAGTTAAACAGCAAAATACCTTGAGACCATGCAGAGCAGAGCATGACAAACAAAAATCATTTTTATGGTTTCAAACCAAATAATACATTACATGTTTTCTACTCTAATAGCAGCGCAGGGTTCTGAGGCAGCCCCAGAACGTTGCAGCAAAGCTCAGCATGACATCTCTATGCATGTGTGAGAGCACTTCCCTCGCTGCAGCGGGACCACGAGGTAGCTCAATAAAAGCTACTGAAATATTTTTAAGTAAACATTTTAACTGAGCTTTTCTCGTGTTAATTTTGATACTCTCCAGATATCAATGGCTTCTGCTTACACTACTCACTGCAAAGGGGACAGGAACAGGAATCTCATACATATTCAATTTCTATTATTAGTTTTATTAGAGTGATCCATGACTACGTGGGAAAGTTAGCAAAGAGAAGAAATTGTTTCAACTCACCGCCAGAGACTTCTCCATGGAGCAACACGACACTGGCGGAAAGAGAAGGCTATGAACTAATAGAAGTCTTCAAATAAATAAGCTTTGCATTTAAAACTTATGTGGATAGTCTATATAAGAGAGGGTATGGTTTAAAAGTCCCTGTTTTGCTTTTTCACCACCAAAAAAAATGCATTTTCATTTTTGGTCATGCCAATAAAACAAAATTATTGGAAGTATTTTTACTTACTGTGTAACTGACAAGACGATTATTTCAGCACAAATTAGGGAGAAACAGTGTTTACCACAAAAGTAAAATAACCCCATTCCAGTGCATTTTACTACCCATACACCTAAAGGTAAGCACACATGTGCAGAACTCATTGTGGCTCAATCACCTGAGGCTTTGTGGCACACACCTAAATTACTAAGACATCTATGAGCTGCACCATTACCCATTAGAAACCAAAATGAAAACTTTCAAATAATTGCCTAGGACCTTAATTCTGCAGCATGGACAAGGCTTTAAATTAGTACCAGATGCTGGATTTTATTCTTTAAACAACAGTTCTAAGGACAGAGAAAGATTCATCTTCCAAGACTACTCCTGCCTGCAGACAATATGACCCATCTTAATGAGGCTGCTGAATGCTTTATGAGCAATTTCATCCACTAGTTACTATATTCTGGCACCAAAATTGAAATATTCATTTTAAATCTTGCCATTAGGACAGTATTGCTTTCTGCCAAATTTCCAATGCCAATTCTTACATTCAATTGTGATTGAGTGTTTCTCCAGAACCAAACAGATAACAGCAAGGCCTGCCCACGCATCCTGTGTCATAACCAGCTCATTAAGCTCCCTGCTCCCATAGACACTGTTGGGAAAAGAGGCACTGGGAAAAGAGTTTCCCATGACCCAGTTATATCCATGCTACCCCAATCAGCTACCTATATCTCTGCTAGTGTGCTTAATCTTTAAAATCTTACTGAATAGAATGGTCCCACCTCTGAGAAACAGGGAGTGGGGGTGAGAGACAAGAAAAATGGAGAATTCAGGGTTTATTTCAAAATTTTGAGGAAAAATATGGCTGCATGCTCAGGAAAATGTAAAAAGTATATGGTATAAGTACATTTGCATGTCACACTAGGGTCTGTCAGTCACAAACTCATTTTACTGTGATACCATACACAGACCTGTGACCTAGGAAAAGCCTCCCAAAAGGCCATTGTTTGAAAACTATTATTTAAAAAGAACACATAATAAAGGGCATTTTGGAAAACTACAACTGTGGCCATGAGAGATACCAAGTGTTCTCCAAATTAACTGTGGAGAGTAAAGCAAGAAGGTCTTTATCTTTTCTTTTCTGGAAAAAATCAACAGACTCATTTGTAAGGTGATATTTAATTTAAAAAAAAACAAAAAAAACCAAAAAAAACAACCCTACCCCATAGTAAAAAAAATAAGTTGAACAACAAAGTCAGATTTAGAATTCATGATCTGAAGCTACCTAGAAAATCTTAAGAAAACACACCACAAAGTTACAATTTGACTTGAAACTTCTATATTCTTGATGAATTAATTTCTACATATCAAATTTTTCACCACAGAAAATTATGTGTCATTTCTGTCCATGCATCACTGCCATGCATGGAGAAGTCCATTCATCTGTGCTTCAGTTTTTTGAATCCCTTCTTTGCCTTTGAAATTATTTATTATATATATTTTTATGCATAATAATTGCTCCACTTTTATACATTGTAGGGCTCAGGAGGAAGAAGGGAGGAGGGAAAGAAAGAAAGAAAATGTACTTTCCTGGTTATTAATTTTCAAACCGCTCTTTTTAGAGTAAGATGTTTTGTTTCCCAGGCAGAACGTATGCCTCACTCTATGAAGTGCGAGGTGCTTTTGCTGCCCTAGCTCTGTGTGTGGCTGTGGCCTTAGAAGTCAAGGATAAAAGAAACAAAACTTTTTTTTTTTTAATTCTGGAGTGAAAAATCCATTTGATTTCTTTTTGTTTATTGCTGCATTACTTAGGTAATTGCTTGAGTTGAGTCAGACTGACGGCAGGGCTCTGGACCCTCTGACTCCAATCCTTTTGCTTTATTTATTAGTCTCACTTATTAAAAGAATGTCTTGGCTTGTATGATGGGTACTATTCAAGCAGAAGTTAAATCACTTATATTTGCAATCTAAGTCACTGACTCACAAAGGCTGAGTATACCATGCTAAGTATTCACAAAAATGCTCTAAACCACGAAAATCATAAGCTCAGCCCTAAAAAATGAGATAGTTCAGAAAGGTCTGTGAAGATTTGTAAAACATTTAAGTGAACCAAGCCATAGTAACTTGTACACAAAAGTTATTCCACACAAAAAAGAAAAGTAGCTTCAACAGATATAAAACCTGGCCATGCCTGAGCAGCTCACACGCAATGTGACCTAATTTAAACAGTGAAGGCCAAATTTAGGTTATCCTCTGTTTCTTGGAACAATCTAAAGACCTGTTATTTTAAACATCCCTGTTTTTTTCGGTATTTTCTAACATTCTCAATAGATATTAAGCTGCTGAGGTCTTCTATTATGTGGTGATTCTGTGCAAAAGCAGAGATATCTCACTGTCTGTTACCTCAAATGGTGCTGATGTCCTCTTCTAAAACTCAGGATGGCTAAAAATGGAATCTTCCATGAAAATTTTAGATTATAAGATAAGTTACAAAAGGAAAGGGCTTCAGCCATTTTTTAAATTTTCACTGATGTTTTAACCTGATTGCCCAGGATAAAACTACACACATGGAGTATTTAAGAAATTCATATGTTCAAACCTTTAACCTTGTCATAAAAATTTTCCATTCTTTTCATCACTAATAATCAACATATTTGTTATAATAAGCTCTTCACATCCCCAACAACCTCAAAGAGTCATGTGCTGCAAGACAAGACTTCTGGTTGATGTTCCTGGGTTCACATGTCCTTTCTGCCTTTGCCAGATTTCTAGGAATAACTTCTTCGCTCCGATTCTTCCCACTTTTAGTGTCACTTTCTCTTTCAGTCCTGTCCTGTAGTTGTGTTACACATGGCCCTGGCACAAAGTGAGGTGCACTCCTGTAAGCCACTAGGGATATTCTTAGTGCTGTTTTTTTCCAGCCTGTTAGATTTAGTGCTAGTGCTGTGCTGGTTGCCTTTAGCAATGCACTGTTTTGGTGTAACCTGTGTGTCAGCTTGAGGCCACAACAGCGTCAGTGCTCTGTGTCGTTTCCATTTTGTCTCAGGCAGCCCTTGCACTCACTTGAAATAAGTGTGGCCTTTTGCCACTGACAATTGAGAATGTTAGTCCCTATTATGTGAAAAACATGATCCACCTAGGTGTTTAAACCAGAAAACTAAATGTTTATTGGGAAAGCATGAAAGGAAGTGAGAGCCTGAGTGAGTTTCACGAGCTCTATTATTAAACAGTGGTGTAGCTTATCAAGGCAAGTTAATCCAAGTAAGACCTTCTCTGTTACTTTTGGATTATTTTCACCAGGCTGCATCCTAGAAATTCTTCTACAACCCTTCTGCCTTGCTATGGAAGTGTTCAGTATTATCACACTCTTGATTTCAATTCCATTCTTTGCTAATGACCCCCAAGCATCTCCCATGAAGCAAGTCTCTCAGCTTGCACTTCAAAACTTCACAGCAGTAATATTCTTCTCTCTCAACAATTAAATTCCCCTGAAACTCTCATCTCCACTTGCACTGAGTGCTGTAACATTTTCTAGTCTGCTCCTAGGCCCCAGCCCAGATTATTTCCTCAGTACCATTAAATGTTCATCAGTTGTCTCTTCTCTTTTGGCTTCTCCTGCTGTCATTTCATACCTGATTGCCTTCTAACATCTCATATAATGGATATTCTTCTGCTATGTTTCATTTTACTTTTATATTTTAGGATAATCAGAAAGGAGCATCAGCTGCTCACTGTCCACTAAACCTGTTTTGTACCCTGAAATTATATCTGCTTTTTCCATAATCCTGGGAGAGGCCTCCAGCCCTCACCCTGCCCTACAGCACACGGCCACCTGCTCACCTGCACTCAATGATATAGAAGATATGGACAAAACTTGTTCAATCACAACATCAAAGGATTCCTCTGCCTTTCTCAAAACATCTTCATTGTGCAGCTCTCTGGCCTCAGAAGTATACTGAAAATTTCTGAGTGTGCTGCCTTCAAACTCCAATTACCATAATTTCATCTCATAATTAATAAAGTAAAAGTAGAAGAAGTAGTGCTTCTGATTTACATAATTAGTATAAAACCCATGCATGGTTCAAACAAAATGCTGCAACCAAATTTTGATACTTGATAGCATAAACCTAAAACCCTTAATCTCTAATTAAATTTAAGATAGCTTGATTTTAAGGACATGGAATATTTTCATAACAGGTGTAAAATTTATGTGGACAAAAATCTATTAAAATACAGAGATACTTTTGGAATAGAAACAAAATGTTCCTTACCCAAGTGTGACCATTTCCATTGGAAATGCACATACAGAACCCTAATTAAATCCTCCTTTGGCATGACAACTCCAAAAAAGAAAGCTTTGAAGAGGGGGCTTCACAGGCTTTTCCTGAAAAAGAAAACAGAAAATAAAAGGTATATAAATAAATAAAATCTAAGCACACTTTTGCAGAACTGTAAAAGCCATTTTGACCACCTGGTCTCTAGAATGGATCCCAGGAAAACCAGGTGTGGGCAAATGCTCTGTTTATGAAGAAGAACTCTTCAAAGGACACAGCTAAAGCTTTGTGGCCATAATGTTATGGGTGAAAACTGATGTGAAATCCCTCTTCTTGTCTGTTTGAGGCTATCTACAGTAATACTGCTTTTGAGAGATGACTATTACTGCATTACTGCTGAAGAGCTTGGGGGTATTTCTTGCACAATGCAGGATTTTCACAGGAGGGCCATATCACAGTTTTACACACCTAAAAAGGAAAAGGTGTATTCAGTAGCAAAAAAATGCATTTCAATTCTAAAAAAGCATTATTTGAAACCACTAGTCATTATTACATCTAAAGTATTTTGTTTCTATTTTAAAGAAATTTTAAAATCGAGTCATTCGCTGCTTAGCTTCTCTCCAGTGACAGCACCCAAATTTCTCTTCAAAATTACAGATGCCAAGCTACCACAGAATTCTTATTATTTTAATGCTACAATAACACAGATGATAGTTTTCCTGGAGAAAGATAAAGAGATTACTGAATTCTAAACCTGAGATGGAAACAAATTTCTTACTTTACATTGTGTCACCCTCACTCCACAGAAAGAGTGATTATAATCTGCAAAGGGGGGGCAGTAAAGCCCTCCAGAAGCAAGCCTTTCATAACTTCACCATTTTTCACAGGCAAGTATAATTACAGTTTTGCATAACCATCTAATGAGAGGAAGTCCTTTCTTGCAGTGTTAATAACGGACCTTGCATAACATGCTAACAAAGCAATGGCACTCTATGTAGGTAATGTCATTGTGTAATTAGCATGCTCATAAGATGACTTAAGATTACAGTTTATCTGAATCTAATAACTGCCTATCAGCTGCTTTACCATTCTGTCTTTTTCAATATATCTTTCCTCATGAGTGGTTTGAGTATCCACCCGCCCAGTGCAGAAGCACAGAGGGAATAAAACAAGCCAGTAACAAAACAGAAACAAAAAATGGAGTTTGGGAGCAATGAAATGAATAATCATGAAAAAAAACCTGGCTTTTTCACATACCTAGACCTGTGTTTTAGGACATGGTATCACAAATATCCGTCTTTGCTATTCATTTCATGGTACAACGTTTGAAATTATATGAGAGAGGCTACTGGAACTTTTACTGGTCACTTCATACATGGCATAAAAGTGGAAAGTGGGAAGAATTGGACAGGTTTCTAAGCCACTTAACAGGCTGCTTTCACAGGAAACTACCCTTGGTTGGAACACTCAAATTCAGTATTTACCAGAGGCCAGAATCAAGTGCTGGTTGCTTCTCCTCTCCGGTAGCCATAGGCTCTCACAGGCAGAGTAAAGCAGAAGTCATCAGAGTCTGGTAGTACAGCTGGATTAGAAATACCCTTCCCATTTCCACTTGTGCAAATTGGAGCTCAGCAAGTGAGAATACAGAAATAACCAGAAATGCAAGAACTGAACCTGAAACAATGTTTTGCCAGTTCACAAAGAGAAAATCCCTTTCTATCCCCTTTTCTCTCTCAGGGTCAAGAAAGAAAGCCAAGTGAATTAAAAAATAGAGGATGACAGAGGACAAATTTTGGCTTGGTATGTTCTTTATAGTGTGCACATTTCAGAGCTGGAAGGAAGAGAAGTCAAAGGTGTGGGGACCATAAATATTCAAGCTCCTGAGAAGAGTGAGGACCTGAATGAATACAAAAAATAGGCAAAGAGCACTCTATGTCTCCCAACTTAAAAGCAATTACAAAATACTAAGAAATTACATGTAAAACTTTTCCTTTAAAAAAAACCCCAAAACAATAAAAAATGCATCTCCCTGAAGTAGTAACTGTAAAACAAATTAAGACATTTCCAAGTATTTGCTAACCTACTTACAGGCATCATTGCTCCCTTGGGCCTTTGTAGCCTTACACCTTCCTTAACGGACTAGCTGAATAGGTAAATGGGTTATATCAGGCCAGGAAATCAATGTGTATACTGTGTTCTCAGCCCCAGATGAGCTTGTCGAAGCCATTTTATTATAGCTGGAGGAGCTGTATTGATCCCACTGTTAACTACTCGGAGGTGGCGAGCAATCCGATGAAGATGCGTCCTGCCGTCCATCCAAATGCTTTCTCCCCTCAATAGCCCTAACAGAGTTAAGTGTTTGCAGATTGAATTAATTTAATGTTTGCTTAATCAAAACTGACTACGCTGGAGCCCAAATTCTATTAATTACTAAAGGAATCACACTAATGCTGTAACATGACGTTAGGATGGAAAGGGCTTTATTTTACTATGACAAGAGGGAAGAGGGGTCATAGGGAGAGTGGAGGGATAAGTCAGGATTTATTTCATAAAAATATTTATTTCTTTATTTCACATTCCCCAAACAGAGAGAGTTCAGACTTCTGTACTTTTTTCCTGAAATAGGGTTATTGTCAGCCAGCAAAATTTCCCTTTAGTGAACTGACAGGCACAGCAAGTTAACTACATTCTTGATGATGAGGAAGAAAGAAGTTGAAATATCATCCAGATTTATTTATGCAACAAACACCTTCTCCTGAATGAAACCAGATGCAACTTCTCTAATTTCTTATTTCTATTTAGTCCTAAGGTTAGTATGATTGTTTTCTTAAAGACTGTCAGAAGTAATCTCTTCTTCACTGTCTAATAAGAAAAAAAATTTCCCAAATTTTCCATACACAGCAGCAATGAGCTACAAGTAAAGGGAGATAATAAAGTAGAACAAGCACTGTTTGACACAAACTTAACTAAAATATTTTCAACAATATTATCTAGAACTTCAGCCAATGCACGTGCTGGATTCAAATGCTCGTGGAACATTTACCAGAGAAGCACAGGTAAGATTTACAGGTAAATTTTCCCTAGGAAAAGCTTAAAAAACAAGGATAAGTGCATAGTGTTTTTCTCTATCAGGTGTTCCTGATCATTTAAAAATCCATCACATCAAGTATTTCTCAGAGGGAAGATCTCTCTTTAGCTGTTTTTTTTTCCCTTTTCCACCCAAAAGTACTTACTTCATACAGCACTTCATGGTGCTGCATTCTCTTAAGCTAATTTTGGTGTTAAATTATCTGTCTTCATCTGCAACACCAGGTGAGTTTGTTTTCTTTTCCTCTTCCTAAATAGTCTACAGATGAAAAAAGTTTTGTATGGGAGCAAAATAATGTTGATTTGATTAATACAGCCGTATGCTTACCGAGCACACACTGAGTGTTAAATAACAAACAGTAGCCAACTGCACAGATTAGCTACATATGAAACATATGTCCTGCAACAATGATTTTATTTCAAAGAGAAGAACAGTCTGTGCTCTTTTCTTACACTCCAATTTACCTATTCAGTTATGCTATAAAATACATTCCTGATTACTAATTTTGTTATGAAAAAAAAAAGTTGTTTTTTTCTCACAGACCTAGAGAGACATCACAGCAAAATAATTATAAGAAAAAAATCTTCTCTCTGCCTCTCATTGTCTTCATTACTATTATTTTAACTTAATGTCAGCCTTGACTTCAAGAGTTTCTAAACTACATTTTAATCTGAGCAGAGAAGTTTTATGCAATCATATCAAAAACTAGAAATACTACTCAAAACACTGTTCAGTAAGTAAGACCTGTGGCCCACTGCCTGCAGTGCAAAGCTAAAGCAGATCCCAGAAAGGCAGGAACTTTCTAGAACTAATCAGAAGGTAAAGAGAAAACAGGAACAAAGTGTGCAGACAACATCCATTTTCCACTTCAAGAAGGGTCATAAACTGCATTTTGGGAGCTGAGAAATTAGTTTTCTCACTTCTGTTAAAAGTCTTTGCGATGACATCAGAAAGAGTTCTGCTGAAAAGGTTTTGGTGTAGTCATTACCACTGTGTTTTAGAGGAATTGAACCACAAATTCAAAACTACCTGGGTGCTAAACACTGGCTAAAACATTCTGAAAGCCAAACTTGCTTCCATAAAAAGGGATTCAACTTGGAGTCATAGTTGAAAAGGATGCCTTTGGAGTTGCTGAACTTTGTACTGCATCAAATCTTCATTACACATTGCAAAGCAGAAAAATTTAAACATAAAAATATTTAAAATAAATAACAAAAAAAAACCTAACAAAAACTACCTGCAATAAGACTGTCTCATCTGAGAGCAAATGGGAAAATTCATTTTCTGGCCCAGGTATGTATGAAACATAATTTCTTCCCTTTATACTTTGACTGTTACTGGGATTTTTGATGTGGACAGTCCTTCAAGATGAGGATCCTTTTCAGCTTAAAAGCTACTACCTTATTAAATATCATAAATGAGTTTGAGGAAAAGAAGCAAAGCTTCTGTGGTTGTTACAAGAATTATAACTGATGAGTGAAGGTGCTAAAAGTGCTACAATACATTTTGAGGCTATTGTAAGCATTTATATTGTACTTAAATTTCAGCTCATATATTTATTTAATGCAAACCAAAATTCTCATCTTGCTTCTCAGATAAGAATATTCCTTTTGCTAAATTATCATTTTCCGTTGAAGTGTAATGTTTGAAATCTGCATTTCATGTCAGAGGTGGCTGATCTACAGAGAGAGCAGTGAAACCCAGTGTAATGAAATATTGTTTTTTACAAGCCATACTTTTGCACAACATCAAGATCATTCTGGGTTAAAACACCAATAAAATGAAAAATTCTCATTACAATTGATTCAAACATGTCAAAATGTATTTTACCTTAATCAAACTACCCTGCCCTTCACTTTTCAAACATTTCTAAAACATAAATTATATCTCTCATTACAGAAAGAAACAAAACTGGCTGCTTTAAACCATAATCATTGCAAATTGCAGCACTGACACCTCTGAATTAAAATTGCAGGAGAATTCACATTTAGGTTGTTTGAACCACTAT